ATATTTTTAAACTTTTAGTTTAAAAATGATAAAAACTAAACAGCCTACAGTATTTTTACAGTCGTTATTTTACAGTTAAAATACATATTTATCAATTAAAGTCTAATGTTACAACTAATCATGGATCCCTTTAATAATTTTAAATTTGATGAAGGTTTTAGCTGTTAGCTGGAGCACAAGTTGTTGTACAAGCTGTAAATACTTTACTGTACTGATGATTCATTTCTTGCATCGACCACTTTTATTGAATTAACAAATAATGCCTCGCTCCGCAGGAAGACGACGATTACCTCATCTTCAAAAATGAGATCACCACACTGGACGACGCCCCCAACCAGCTGATCACCAGGAAGCACCTGGTGGAGGCCCGCTTCTACTGCCAGTACCCCAAACGTGGGAAGGTGACCTTGGGCTTCACGGCGCACAGGAAGAACGTGACAGTGTGGGAGAAGGGCTTCGGCACGTTCACCTACCAGTTCGAGTTCTACCCAGACAGTCGGTTCAGAACCATGATCAGCCCCAGCTCCTACCCCCTGGACTACGACATCGGAGAGAGGATCTACATGCAGCTGGACGCCAGCGCCTCCATCAACAACACCGAGATGTTCGTGGAGTCCTGCAGAGCCGCGCCCTATGACAACCCCAACTACCACCCAACATACTCCATCATCGAGAACGGGTAGGCAGAGGTCAAAGGTCAACAGGTCTTAGACCAGCAGCCACTGTAAGACAGGCAGGGGACATGTGGACGTCCATCAGAGACACACGGAGACAAATGAGACAAATTCAAGCCAGTTCAAACAGGACAGTACAGTCCTGATCAAACCAGTTATCATCTAACTTTATCCAATTCACTCTGAATAAATACTGATAAACACTTCACTCCAATTCATTTTAAATAAATACTGATAAACACTTCACTCCAATTCATTCTGAATAAATACTGATAAACACTTCACTCCAATTCATTTTAAATAAATACTGATAAACACTTCACTCCAATTCATTTTAAATAAATACTGATAAACACTTCACTCCAATTCATTCTAAATAAATACTGAGAAACACTTCACTCCAATTCACTCTAAATAAATACTGAGAAACATTTCAATTCATTTTAAATAAATACTGATAAACACTTCACTCCAATTCACTCTAAATAAATACTGAGAAACATTTCAATTCATTTTAAATAAATACTGAGAAACACTTCACTCCAATTCACTCTAAATAAATACTGAGAAACATTTCAATTCATTTTAAATAAATACTGAGAAACACTTCACTCCAATTCATTTTAAATAATTCTTAAAACACTTCACTCCAATTCATTTTAAAT